CAGCCTGACATCACTTCCCGGGGAGTTGTTGTTATAAATAAATGCTCGTGTGCTCTGGAGAAGGAAACTGGCAGCAGATCCCTGGTGTGGAACCCAACTGCAGCAGCACATTCCCATGTTCTGTTTGCTGCTCAAACATCTCTAATCAGCCCCAATCTTGTCTCCTGGCTCTGGCAGGAGCACAAGGAGCAGCTGCTCAGTGAGACACAAACTGTTGTGCATCAGGCCTGGCACAACTGTGACCCCACACAGCCCCTCTGAAACGTGTTCCTGGCTCTCCCTCAGGATTCTGAACACGACCCTGTTTGAGAGCTGGGAGCTGATCGGTCCTTACCCTTCCTGGTGGCTCTTCAACGGGCTCCTGGTGACCCTGCAGGTCCTGCACGTCATCTGGTCCTACCTCATCATCCGCACGGCCTCCAAGGCCCTGGTGAGGGGCAAGGTAAGGCTCTGGGGGTGGCCTTGGGGCTCCTCTTTCCTGCAAGGAATCACCAGAAATTGGGGCCCTTCAGTGGGGGCTGGTGCTGGTTCTCCAGGGCTCCTCTTTCCTGCAAGCCCTGAGAAGGAATCACCAGAAATTGGGGCCCTTTGGTGGGTTCTCGAGGGATCTGCATCAGGAGTTCTGCAATAAGAGTGATTTTTTTTCCCTGCAGTGTGTTCAGGGGGCAGGGAGGCTTCCTGTGTTCTGGGCATGCAGGGGAATAACTCCATTTTCCAGCATGCTCAGATGTTTTAATAGTAACTGTGGTGGCAGACTTGTCAGGCACTTTGGAGTTTCAGGTGGTGACAGGCTCTTTTTTTGAACTGCAGGATGAACACACAGGATGTTTTCCAGCTTTCCCAACTCCAGCTGGTGCTGGGGGTGTGCTGAGGGTTGTGCATCTTCACTTTCAGCACATCCCTGAGCTCCAGCGTGGAGGGAAGGGGCTCTCAGGGATGCAGAGGGGTTTGCTGGTTGTCAAAGAACCACAGGATGACCTGGGTTGGTCTCAAAAATCACCCAGTTCAAGGCCAGGAGAACCTCAGTGGAAGGTGCCCCTGCCCCTGGCAGGGGGTTGGAACTGGGTGTGATCTTTAAGGTCTGTTCCAACCCAAACCATTCTGTGATTCTACGAAAGAGCAAAAGCTGATTTAGGAGGACAAATCCTTTTTCCAGTCAGATTTTGGTGCTCTGAGCCGAGTTTCCCCTCGTGGCTCTACTTTATTTTGTGGTTTTTACTTTAAGCTGCCCCCACACAGGGAATGTGACTTCCAGAAATGTTTCTGTCGTGGTTGCCCGTGGCAGGGACTGTGGGGGAAGGCAGGTTTTGGGAGTCTGAGCTCTCCATCTGTTCCCCACAGCTGCTGCTGCAGATGCCTGATTTTTTCTGCCTCTGGAGCTGTTTTCTGTATCCTGAGTTCTACACCTTTTCCCTTTCCTTGGTTCTCTCCTGTCCAGGTGACCTAGCCAGAGAAAGGACTCTAAGCTCTGTCTTCTTCACTCTTTTCTCCTTTTCTCTGTGCCAGATTGGAGCTGGACAGTTCCACCCTTTGCATGTAAGTGTGACCTGTGGTTCTCTTTGTTCCCTCAAACACGGCCAGGACAAAAGCAGAGCTCCAGTCTTGGGGCTTTGGTGCCTTCTCCTTCTCTCCCTGCTCCTGACAAAGTGCCAAAATTCAGTTTTTTCCAAAGGGCAGAGCAGTGTCCTGGGGTCTGATCTTACCTGAGCTGTCACCTGCCTGCATGACCTTCACTCTCTGCTTTTACACACACACACACTCTCTGATTTCTGTCTTGGCTCCTCGAGGGGGAGAGAGGACAGGAGAAAACTGCTCCTTCCTGTGAAAAGGAGTAAAACAGTCCCTTACCCCCCCAATAATGGGAAAAAATTCAAGGGATTTCTGCTTCCTCCCAGTGACCCTTTGAACTTCCAACGTAGCAGGAGATTGGGGGGGACAGATAAGCAAAAGTTCTGGCAACGGGGCAGGAGCCAGAACATCCTCCTGGAGATCATTAACTTCATTTGGGTTCCTGCCAGAGCTTCCCTGGAGCTCAACCACTTCCTGCTGCTGGAGGGCCCTAACCCTGACTCAGAGAGAGAGCAGGGAATGAAATCCTGGAATCTTTGGAAAGCTGGGAGCCAGAGTTGCTGGCACGTGGAGCACACGAGGGCTGTTGGCTGCAGAGGGAGGAGAGTGAGGAGCAAGAGCAGGGGGAGCCTGGGGGAGGTTTTGCCTCTCCCAGGTGTGTGTTTGCAGTCAGGGCTGGGTTTATGGGCTCCTCCCTCTCCCTTCTGGCTCCACAGGGCTGGAATAGGGCCCTCCTGTGGCACCAAAGTCCTCCTGGGAAGGTTCAAATTCCTCCCAACACAGATCAAATTGATCTGGGTTTGCAGCCAGGCTCTGAGCTGAGGCAGATCTGGATCTCTGGGATGAGGCTCCTCCTGGAAAGGTTCAAATTCCCCCCAACACAGATCAAACTGAGCTGGGTTTGCAGCCAGGCTCAGCTGAGGCACAACCCTGCTGGCAGATCTGGATCTCTGGGATGAGGCTCCTCCTGTTCCCAGACACTGCCTTTGTTCTCCATCCTGCTCTCCAAACAGGCCCCTGCTCCTCAGTGGGATCTCCTGGATGAAGCACAGAAGGCTGGTGGGATTGGGAGGCACTTGGTGCAGGCAGTGATGTGATAAATTCAGCTGGTTAATTTTTAAAACACTGGGACAAAATGTTCCCTCTCAGGCTGATACACTGCTGGGGCTCGGTCGTTGTGCCCACTGGTGATTGTGGCATGGGAAAGTTTTGAGTCAAAACAAGCTGTTTTTGGAGAAATGGCCTTGAACCCATCCAGAGTGGAGCTCTTGGAAGACAAGGACACCCCCAGATCTGTGGTGTCCTCTGATGTGGTGGGGAGCACAGAGAGCACAGAGCGTTTGGAAAATGGAACTCACCTCCCCACACTGTCATTTGTAGTGTTTCTGCCTCGTTCCTAATGCCATGACAGGATCCTCCTTGGGAGCTTGAACTGCTCCAGGCTCAAAAATGTAGGAGGTAGATGTGACTTGAAGCCGGTTCATCACACTGGCACAACCTCCTAACTGCTGTTTTCTGTGCATTTTCCGACTCCCCTTCTCCTCTCCCGTCCCCCAATTCCCACTGGGCCACCTTTTAGGTGTCCAAGGACGACCGCAGCGACGTGGAGAGCAGCTCTGAGGAGGAGGAGGTGACTTCCAACAGCACAAAAGGAACCTTCAGCACTTCCAGCAACGGCTCCAACCGCCTCAACGGCCACGTGGCCGGCGGCCAGTGGACAGGGGAGGAGTAAAGGCCCTGGGCTTGGCCTTGAGCAAGCACGAACTTCTCTTTCGATATCTAGTTGTGTTGAGCTCCACAAGTTCCCAAGTGATCTTTAATCAAAAAAAACCCCAACAAAACAAACCCCTTCCCCCAGAAAAAAAACCCCGAAACGGGCGCGGCCCCGACCGGTCCGAGGGACGAAGCCGACGGGGCCAGGGCGAGGACAAGAGCTGCAGGTTCCACTTTCAAGCCACTTTGTACTTCAAAAGTACAAAAAAAAAAAAACCCCAAACCCCCCGAGTTCCTGTTGATACCTGCAGAGGTGTCTTTGTTTGCCACGGACTGGTTGGTTTTCGCTGGGATCGACCCGAGGCGGAGCAGGTTGGGACGAGGCCGGTCCAGAAGCACTCCAGGAGCCACTTGGGAGCACAGAAAAAATGCAGGTTCCACGTCCAGACTGCCCTGGGGGAGGCAGAGACTTTTTCTCAGCTGAGCTTTGGACTCTGCTGCCCCAGAACTGCTGTCCTGCCTCGCCCCCGGGGTGCTGGGGAGGTCCCAGCTGCTCATCTCTGCTGTCACCAGGGACCAGGCCGGCGTCTGCTGCCTCTTTTGGTGCTGCAAACCCCTCTGAAGTCTTGACCAAAGCCTTCTGCAAGAGGTGGTGGAGGGAGGGTGGTTTATTGCCCCCGAGACAACCAGCACAATCCAGGCCTTTTAAATTGTTTTGTTTTGTTTTTTTCCTGTTGCAAATTGTGGTTTTGAAGACTTTTTTTCCAGACCTGCTGGATCCAGTTGGCTGAGCTGGGATCGGAGGGAGGATCAGAACTGGTGGGCTGGGTTTGACCCTCCAAAAAATGGGATATTTTGGTCCCGTGCCCCGAGACAGAAGTGAATGTTGCTGCTCTGATGCTGCAGCTGGGGAGGAACCCGGGGCTGGAAGAGCAGCCACACCGTGGGCTTTGCTTCTCTATTTTTTTTTTTTTTAACTCAATGGTACTTGGGGGCAATGGAATGGTCAATCAGGAGCAGAATTTTGGAAACTTCTCGACTCGTTACCATTTTATACTGTTGTTTACTCTTATCTCTGATTAAAAGTTGCTTCAGAAACGTGGGGTGATGTTTCATGCTGAGTTTGGAAGAACAGAGGGTAGAGGTGATGGAGCAGTGGAAGGTGCCCCTCTGGCCATGGCACAGGGGGTGGAACTGGGTGATATTTCAGGTCCCCCCACACCCAGCCCAGCCCGTGATTCTGTGGTTTGGGGGACACCACAAACACAGCACCACACCCGGCTGCTTTCACACGGTTTTATTGGGCCCAGGGGGGCAATGGGATGGTTCCTGCTGCCTCCCCAGTCAGTCCCAGTCCCAGCTCAGCTCCTGGGGTTGATTCCAGTCGCAGATTGGGTGCAGGACCAGTCCCAGGCCGGACTGAGCTCCTGGGGCTCGTCCCAGTCCCAGGCCGGGCTCAGTTCACTGGGCCAGGCTCAGCTCCTGGGGCCAGTCCCAGTCCCAGCTCAGCTCCTGGGGCTGGTCCCAGTCCCTGCTCAGCTCCTGGGGTTGATTCCAGTCCCAGATTGGGTGCAGGACCAGTCCCAGGCCCAGCTCAGCTCCTGGGGCTCGTCCCAGTCCCAGGCTGGGCACAGGACCAGTCCCAGGCCAGACTCAGCTCCTGGGGCTGGTCCCAGTCCCAGGCTGGGCACAGGACCAGTCTCAGTCCCAGCTCAGCTCCCAGGGCTGGGCACGGGGCCGGTGCCAGGCCGGTCCCAGCTCCCAAGCCCAGTGCCAGGCTGGTCCCAGCTCCCAGGCCCGGTGCCAGTGCCAGCCCAGGCTCAGCTCTGGGGTCCGGGCGCGTTCTCCTCCCTCTCCCGGCGGTGCTGGAGCATCCTCTGGACACGGACGCTGCACAGGTACCCCGCGTACAGCGTCAGCAGCATCATGGAGCCCGAGAACGCCTTGTAGCCAAAGTCTGCCAGCTGCTTGCCCGACACCATGGCTGTGCCTGTGGGGGGAATCACACAGGACCATCAGGGACCGCTGGAGATCCCCCCTGGAACACGTCCAGGGGGGTTTGGGATGTCCCCAGAGAGGGGGGGACTCCCAGCCCTCCCTGGGCAGCTGTTCCAGTGCTCTGCCAACCCTACGAGGGAAGTTCTTCCTTGTGTGGGACTTGTGGAAGAACTTGTTCCTTGTGGAACTTCCCATGGTTTAGTTTATGGCCATTGCTCCTTTTCCTGTGGCTGAGCACCACTGAGAAGAGCCTGGCACCATCCTGGCACCATCCTGGCACTTGGAGATGTTTATACACCACCCTGGAGATATTTGTGCACATTAACGAGATCCCCTCTCACTCCTCTCTCCTCCAGATAACCAAGCCCAGCTCCCTCAGTCTCATGCTCCAGACCCCACTGGACCCTCCCCAGTAGTTCCTTGACTTTCTTCTCCAGAGGAGCCCAGAACTGGACACGGCACTGCAGATGTGCCTCCCCAGGGCTGAGCAGAGGGGCAGGATCCCCTCCCTGGCCTGCTGGCAACCCCTTCCCGACGCACCCCAGGATCCCACCGCCTTTCCCCGCCCCGGGTCACACTGTCCTTGACCTCCAGGTCCTCCTCCACAGAGCAGCAGGTCACCCCCAACCTGTGCCGGTATTTGGGGTCATTACCCAGTGCTGGTACTTGGGGTTGCTCCTCCCCGGGTGCAGGACCCCTTGCTGGAACCTCATTAGGTTATCCTAATGAATTCTAACAGCTCATTAGCCTTCTCTCCGCCCGGTTCTCCAGCCTTCACGTGGATCAGCCGCTCCCGCAGCATCCCCAAAAACCCGCTCGGGTCGGCGATCAACGCTTTATTCAGTAAGACCGGGCCTAGTATTGAACGGCGGGGACGCCGCCGGGCCGCACCACGGGCTTCCGGGACGGCGGCGGCGAGCGGGGCCGGCAGCGCCCTTCCCGTCTCGTCCTTCCCTATCCCACCGCACCCCATCCCTCCCTATCCTATCCCATCCCATCCCTCCCTATCCCATCCCATCCCGTCCCGTCCCTCCGCACTCACCCCGCTCCCGCTCCGCGTCACGTGGCCCCGCCGGTGTCACGTGGCCCCGCCCCTTCCGGGAGGGAGTCACGTGCGTCGAAACGTCACGACGCGGCCCCGCCCACCGCGGGAGCCCCTTGGCGCCCCCTGGCGGCGGCGCCCCCACAGCCGCCCCTCCGCTTCCTTCGCCCCCCCCCTCACCCCTCAGGGGCCGCGGCCGCCGCCATCGCTGCCCGCACGGGTCTCCCGGCACGAGGAGCCCTCAGGGCACAGCCCTTGGCCGCGCAGGGATGGAACAGAGGCTGCCCGGCCCCCCTTCCCCCTGCTCGCTGCAGCCCCGGGACTTGGAGGCGCGGTGCCATCCGAAGCCATCGTGAGGGTGCCAATGCCCTCTCAAGGGTCTCGGTGCCTTCCCCAATGTCCTGGTGCCTTCCCAAGGGCTCCAGTGACACTGAGGGTCCCAGTGCCATCCCAATGACCCTAGTGGCATCCCAATGATCCCAGTGCCTTCACAAGGGTCCAGCGCCATCCCAGTGATCCCAGTGCCATCCCAGTGATCCCAGTGCCATCCCAATGATCCCAGTGCCTTCCCCAATGTCCTGGTGCCTTCCCAAGGGCTCCGGTGACACTCTGAGGGTCCCAGTGCCATCCCAGTGATCCCAGGGCCATCCCAATGATCCCAGTGACTTCACAAGGGTCCAGTGCCATCCCAGTGATCCCAGGGCCATCCCAATGATCCCAGTGCCATCCCAAAGGTCCAGTGCCATCCCAATGATCCCAGTGCCATCCCAATGATCCCAGTGCCATCCCAAAGGTCCAGTGCCATCCCAATGATCCCAGTGCC